TGCTGTTTTTGTTTTCTACCCCACCTCGTATAAATTTGGTTAGAAATTGTACATGTTTCGGAACCTCAAATATTTTAAATGTTTGTAAGAATGATTAAAAACATAAACAATTTCATATGCCTCTATATTGTGAGGTAATCCAAAGCTGACTGTCCCATTGTTTAAAAATAAATAAAGTCATTGTACTTTTTATTTTTATTTTTTCAAGTCCTGTGATTCATTTTCATTCAAACTATAATTTCAACTATAAAACTTAATAAAAATCATTTTTAACCTGATTATTATATTCTACTCCCACGTCGTGATCATCTTTTTACTGTGATTTTGGGTTGAAAAAGTTAAAGTATGACAGGACAACACATGTCAACACTCTAGTAGGAAACTACAATAAAAATCTCGTTGGTTTCCATTTCCGCTTCTTCCTGCTGTGAATAAAGATTATGAACTCAAAGTTGATCTTATTTGGCCTAACATTGTGGACTCCCAGTCTAATCAAATATCATTTGTGTCACCGACGGAGACTGAAATTAGTTTATCATTTCGTCAATTGATTTTACCAACAAATTAATTGTCGGATAACCGTCCACAACTATATCACAGTGTGTGTGTGTGTTTATGTCACGCACACAACGTTGACTTTGTCAACCTAGATACTAACTAGTTTGCCCAATAAAGCTCCTTTTAATCATTTCCAAATACTCCACTTGAACCAGACGACCTTCTAATCCAATCAGCGGTTAAAAATATCATAGAAAATAAAATAAAATCGATCATCTGCACCCAAATTTTATTCGCTGTACTGCCATGCCCACAAGTTTTTCTACATTAAATGCACCAATAATTCATAACGGATAACCTAAAAAAGCATAACTAATCATCTTCCCACTTTCATCATTAGTTTTAAATTTAAAAAATCTAGATTAAAAGAAGAAAAAAATAATAGATAATTAAATTATTGTTATTTTTATCATGTATTAAATTATATAAATTTAAATTAAATTAATAATTTAAATAAATTAAATTATTTATATTAAAAGAATATGACGAAACATGAAAGGATCTCGATCCAAAAATCTTATTAAAAAACAACTATTAAATACTTCAAATTATGTTTTCATATCAACCATGTAAAGGTTCAGAGTATACACATGAGTCGTTCAAAAAATACTTCAAAAGATGATTAATGTAAATTTACAATGATGTCTCCAAATCATTAGTGACTTATATTAATTTTAATCTAAATCGTGATAACTTGAAGAAAAAATTCTTGGCAGTTGGCTGTTATTTGTCCATATAAGAATTTTGTATCAATTCTCTCTACCTAGATCATGCCCTTCACCAGCTAGTGTTTTTCTTTATCAACGACATCTTTGTCTTGTAAAAATAATCAAATGCTGACATATATATATATATATATATATATAGATTAGATGTCTTGATCATTTGATATTCTTCATGCTGATATGTTGAAGAGAAATGATTTATTGAGATTCCAAGAGTACTTTCGAGTTGGAAATTCAGAAACATCAATTATTGTCGTGTTATATTATTGATTTTAACATTTATTAAGAAAAACATTTAAGGCTTGCTAAAGCACGATAGAGAAACTGCAGGAAATCTAGTTATGCATGCCATTTAACCCTTTTGTATACGAGAAAAATGGCAAAGCAAGCAATGGAGTAACCAAGTATAAAATTTTTATGGCTTGTAAAAAAAAAGGGATGGAATTTTTATCTAAAAAATATCATTGCCCTCTTAAATGCAGAGCGAACAATATTTAGAATTTATTTCGGCGATTTGGTTTTGAAGACTTCATATGGTCCACAGATCTTGTAGATTTCACCATTGTATTATTGTATATGTCTTTTCGAAGTATTTAAACATTCATTCTTTTTTTGTCCAAAAGCACTGATGATTTTTGGTTTCTTTAATATGTCAAAACTGCAGAAAACATTAAAAAATCAAATTTTTAATACAAAAACAATTGTACATAAGTTTTTGATGTCGTTAAAATTACATATAATTACATTAGAGTATTTCACAAAAGAGTATATTATTCCTTCTTCTTTCAGTTTTCAATACAAATTTAATTTAGTCACTCAATTTTTAAAAACCTACAGTTATTTTTTTAATTTTAATTCTTTGTCTATAACTTAATAATTTTTAGAAGTCCATTGTTAATCATCCGTTATCATTGACCAAAAATCTATTTAAAAAAAAAAAAACATATTTTGTTATTTTGAGCTGAACTATTTTCATATATACTATATAGTAGAAAACTAATCGACTTTCAAAAGTTTTTTAGATAAGGAAGTATTTTTTTAAAATTTTTCTTAAATATTAAGTATTTATAAAATTTAAAAAATGAAAAATATTAACTATTTACTTATTCTCAGTGACAAAATTTTTGTATGGTCTAATGCGTAACACCTAATTAACCAAAATTTAAAATATGTTAATATTGTAAAACCATATATATGAATATTTTGAGAATCGCACTAAAAATAAGCAGATAAATGTGTATGCTTTTTTTCAGAATCTCTAAAAGATACTAGGATCATTCCAAACTATTTTCTATTTTTTTTTTCAGTTTTATAAATATTTAATGTTTAGTAAAAAAAAAAAAATACTTCCTAATCTCCAAAACTTTTAAATCTATGCATGTTCGGAGAAAAATAGTTCCAAACGTCAAAAATTATTTTTTTTAAGAGAATTTTTAGCCAATATGACAATGAGTTAACATTGCATTGCCAAAAATGGACTAAGTTATAAAGGGTAAATAGATTAATTTGTCCTTATATAATAGCACAAGTTTTTAATTATATTAATTATATTTTTGAATAATGTTTTACTATCTAATATGTCTTTCTAATTAATTTGTTTTACAATGACTAATTTTTTATCTAAATACCTATGACTGAAATGCAAAAAATAATAATAAAAAAAATATCACTTAAAGTCACGTGACCTACACATTTCATTTTCAAAGTCTTGAGTCCTTAGATTTTTTTTTTTTTTTTTGGCATTTCAATCAAAGGTATTTTCGATTAAAAAAATTGCTCATGATTAAAAAAATTGATTGGAAGAATAAATTAAAGACTTAAATATTATTCAAGACACAATAGATGCAATTAGAAATGTAATGATAAATTAAAAACTCAGTTTATTAAATAGGAAAAAATTGAGTTATTTACCTAAGTTATAAATGGAGAATTAATTAAAATGGAGGATATATTTAAAACTACAGGACTAAATTACAATTATGCTAAAAAAAAACGAGGGATGGAAAAATAACTAACTCTTCACAAAAACATAACAAACATGAATGATACAAATAGGTTCTAAAATGTTACGATATAGATTATAACTAATTGGCTTTTCGCGCTATGTCGAGGATAAATTAAACATATTTATTTCAGTTTGATAACATGTGTTATATTATCATTAAAAAAAATATTAGATTAAAGATAAAATTTTATGTAATTTTATATCTTTTAATCAAAATTTTGCATCTATTTTTTTAAATAATTTTTGTAGTTTGAAAAATATGATTTATTCTTTTTTATGCATTTATTCTTAAAAAAAAATCTAAATATAAAATTAAAAAATATATTTTAATATGTTTTTCATAACATTGTATCAAAAATATAAAATAACATAAAAACCTGAATAAATATTAACAAATAAATATTTCTTTATTCTTGTTTAATAATAATGAGAAGAATATTGTTTAGAAAGCATGTACATTTGATACACACACACACACACACACACAAAATAATGAATAATATTCATATAAAAAATTATATTTAAATTATTAGGTAGTTTTTCTAAAACATTATTTTAATTATTTTATTTAAAAAATAATTTTAAAATATAAAAAATAATAGCACCGGTTGGTGTTATAAGTGCGGATACATAGTTATTTTTTGTTAAAATCAATAACCGTAATATATATATATTTTTTATATATCACGATCGTACTTATTGGGTCGAATGTGCGGCATAAACTAATTTTTTAAAAAAATAAATTATAAAAAATATATTAAAGTTAGTAAGGTGCAATAAAAAAATAACAAAATTGATTTTGACAAAATTTGATTATATAAAAAATAAGTAAATAAACTCAAGCATATTTTCAAAATTAGATTATATAAAAAAAAACAAATAAAAATAACTACAAAAAATTGTTCAAAAATCCATACATAAGAGAAAATAAATCATATTTATTAACAAATATAAGAAACGAAAAATTCAATATATATATATAGTTTGTGTGGAAAAATAATAATAATAATTAGTTTTTCATTAATCTTCACACCAATTCAATAATTAAAAAAAAAACATAAATTGGTGGAAAAAAATAGAAAAAAAAAAGAGAAAGAGAATAAAAATAAATTTTTTCATAATTTTCACACCTAATTCAATAATAAAAAAACATAAATTGATAAAAAAAAAAAAACAAAACAAAACAAAACAAAGAAAAAATCGAAAATAAAAGGAGGCAGGCCTGAGTGTCTGCCTTGGGCCTACTGTAGGTCCAACGCAGCAGCCTAATGCAGCTGGTCAGATGATTAAATAGCCTATAGATTAAAATTTAATTTGAAAAATTTAAGAATCAAGATGAAAATTTATGTAAACTTCGAATATAAATGTCCAAAAATAGTTTTAAAAAAATCACAAAAATACCATCCTAATTTATATTACATGAATAATGAATTGTAAAAGATGAAAAATAAAAATCCCACTTCAAAAACCCCATATCTTTTAGTTTCTTATAATTCTAACATATAATTACAACTTGACTAGAGTGAACATGAAAAAAAAAAGTACTTACAATCTTATATACTAAAATTATCATGACTTAATTTAGCCTGATAATCTATAGCTAGATATTAAAAAAAAAAAAAAACTGAAAACAAAAATTAAATAAAATAGACAAATAGACTGCCACCTATCTATCTGCCCACAACAAGAATACAATTCAATGGGGACGGGTTTTACGGTTGGTTGCAAGTTATGCCTTCATTGCCAGCTAAAATCAAGTATTTGTCTCTTCTTGTAAGCTTTGTGCACTCAAAACTCAACGCCTTACCAATCTCACCCTGCACATAATTGGCAACAGCAAATCTTGATTTTTCACTATCTTGATATGTGGACAGCCCAGATACGACATCAAGCAACCGAATAGTGTAACTTGGTAGAGGGTTCATGAGGAAGAAAAGTGGGTCTAGGCACTTGAGCCCACCAGCCGTTGTGCCATAAAACATGCTCACATGGGTGTCCAAAGCCACAGGGACTATGTCGTCGCTCATCTCAGCAAATAATGGGCTAAATCTCAAGAGGTATGGTTCCCTACATGTGGTACCTTCTGGGCAAACCACGAGATCCCCTTGACTTAATAGTCTCTCCATCATCTTTGCATCTTGTTCACGATCACGTGTTAATCGGACGGTCCTGATTGGTGATAGTACCTCTGACAATCTACTAAGACTGTATGTGACAGCAGTGAAATTTTTCTTTAATACAAAAGAAAGGTACAGGGGATCTAGTAATGTTCTGTGGTTGCAAACATAAAGGAGGCCTTTTTCTGGTTTATTTTCTTTCGAGTTTTGAAGTGAACGAGACAATTTGGGTTTTGATATTACTATTCTGAACCCGGAGAAAACCAGTATGGGTATTGATATTTTGCGTGGAAGAGTCAAAGCCACAACGATCCTGATCAAGGCAAGGACGAAGCCAAAAGGGAACCACATGAGTAATGCAAGAGTGGCCAGTGGGGTTGGTCTCAGAGCAAGTCTACCGTCATGGAAAATAAGCGGTTTGGGGTATTTTTCTCTTGGCAGGTGTTGCCAGCTGATCTTGTCTATTCTTCGGACCAAGTAAATCTCCTGTTGTGAGAAAGCAGGAAAGCAGCATTAACTAACAAGAAAACTTTAGTTCTTTTCAATTTTCCTTCATATATTAAACGAGTCTTAAAGCTCAAATCAAATTAAAAATACACAGAACAATAAAAGAAATGTTCAGAAACAATAGCATTAACAAATCAATATCCCTTTATTACCAAAAAAACAAAATAATAATAATAATAAACAAATCAATGTCCCTTTTCCATCAATTGTTGCTAAAATATACTCTCAAAACATGCTTATATAGGCAAATCTTTACCAAAGGACTTAATTGCCTTGTATATATGACACCAATGCATCCCAAATGTTGGTTACGATAAATATAAACATGACAATGAATTTTAAATAGATGACATAAATAATCCAAAAATTTTAATAATATTACGAGTCTTTTTATGCTATCCATTAGTATAACATTTCCTAATTTTTTTTTCATATTTTATGTAACATTAGCCGTTGGTTTTAGTTTTCAAGCAGGAAAAAAAAAATTAAAGATACGAAGATATCCCAAAAAGTGAAAAGCTCACCATGCAATGAGAGAATAAAGGATGATCAAGAGATCTATTGAACCGACTAATGCCAATTATATCGTGACTAGTAATATTCTCCTTTCCGAGTATCTCCTCAAAATTTAGCATGCCTTTCTTCTTCTCTTCCATGAGTCCCGAAAAATACCCGCAAACCGTCTTTAGCTCTTTCCCAACAACACAGTTAATATCTAAGTAGTCTCTTAGGAAACTATCAATCATGACTTGAGGAAAATGATCACTCACAGCCACTTTCCTCCCTCCTCTTTTCAACACTTCAAATGCCTCTAACCCAACATCCTCCAAGAAAATCTTTGGCAAAACAGCACTTCCAACTCTAAAACTCTCTTTTTTTATCCCAAAGAAGCAAAGCATTACCATTATCTTCAAGCCCATATCTTGACCAACTAAACAAATAAATGGGTATAAAAGAAAGAGAACAAGAGCCCTTAATAAGCTTCCAGCTTCAAAAGCCACAAGCATAAAGTAAGGAAACAAAGAGGAGGATTTCAGCAAGGTTCCCTCCACATTAAAGACCAAAGTTTTGTTTGATAAGTCTGATCTATGAGCAAGAGAAGCATACTTCTGATATTTTCCATTGGTTAGATGGGCATTGCTGAAACTTCTTTGGAGACCTTTTGGGTTCCTAAATTGTCTAAGGATAATGCGAAAGAAAAAGAAGAAGAAGAAGGTTTCGAAGAAAAACGCCCTTGAAAACATTTTTTCAGCTTTCACAGTGCCAATACTGCTAGAAGGGTTGTGCAATTGTGCCTGCTCTAATTAGAACCCACTTTGTTTTATATTGTGTCAGGTATAATAAAACCCTTGCAATTTCTAATTATTACTAGCATGCCATTATTACTTGGGTACACTTTTCCACGTAGCTCGATTCCGATATTTCCATGCAATGTCCTTATGGAGCTAGTGAGAATGGTTTCGTACCAGAACGCACAGTTAACACGTTTAGTGGTACAGCAGCAACAAAAGAAGAAAGAACGGTTGATATTAATTAAGACCGCGTTGTCCCTTTGCACACCAAATTGGACAAGGTAATAGTACCTGTATACGGATTATTGAAAACTGATCAGCGGAACACTCAAAATGTGTGGAAAGTTAGTGTTTTAATTTGTAAAATAATAATTAATCAATTAAGTAAAAATTATAAAAATAGTAAGAGGTATGGAAGGAAAAGCTAGCAATTCTAGCTTAAAAGTTCTAAAATAAAAAATTGGTAAATGCAAAAATTCTTATGACCTCGTAATAATATAAGATTGATGTTTATAACTAAAGAAGATGGTCAATGACAAATAAAATATGCAAATAATGAGAGGCGTTGAAGGAAAAGCTGGTAATGCTAGTTTAAAAGTTCTGAAATCCAAAGTTCTTAAATGCAAAAGTTTTGATGACCTCATGATGATATGAGATTGATATCTATAATGAAAGAAGATGACCAATAACCATTAAGATTACGTCATATCATCCAAATTTGGACGGTTTATTTGGCTTGAAAAATTTAAGTTTTTTGAGATTAACTCGCTTCAACTTGCTAATAAAAGCTAAAAGAAAAGTAATAATTGGACCCTCTTTTAACAAACCCTACTTCGAATCCACCAAGTCAATCTCCGTAATATATCTTAATGATAAGGCATAGACATTGGCTATGTCAAAATACTCATGTCTATCCTTACAACCCGAGAGCATATGTTAAGTTACGTTCATTTTTAATTCAATGTATTTATCATGTAATTTGGAACCATGTCAAAAGTATTAAAAAAAAAACATGGATTAATGCATAATAAAAATTAGATAAATTAATTAATTAAAATATCAAATATATATAATACCTTATTAGTGTACAACATCACACATGATAGATGTATTTAACAAGCATGTAAAATGGGACTCGACTTAGCTTAGGGTATGTGGGTTAAACAACTTTATCTAGAGATAGATTCTTAGGTGGTCCAAAATATTTTTTCGAATAATAGTGAGGTTGGCCCTTATCATAATTCCTTGCTTTTTAAAACATATAAAGAATCTAATGAATGGAAATTGAATAGTTAGGTGCTGCATACTTTCATGGAAACAAATTTTTGTGTCGACGATGTAGCTCATCTTGGTGTTGGCTTAGGCACTAACATTGTATATTTTGCGATTTTGAAATTTTATTAGTGATTCACCTAAGTAGGGATTGGAGGGGGTAACAATTCACCATGGAGGTAATTACATTTTTTTTTGTTTGGGCTTTTAATTACTTCTCTTTCGTTTGGGCCTTTCGACCTCTTTTGTAACAAACATTAAAGATAAAAATTCAACAAGATGAACATAAAATTTGGATCCGATTAGGCATATATCTCGATTTCATTATAATACCGAACAGTCGACTATACCTACTCGTGTTTCTTTTTTTTTCAAGGTATTTTGGATTCAAAAGTCTAGATTAATCCCTCGTTGCTCGATCAAAGGCACAAAATGGGCACGGTTATCAAAAAAATTTCGTATACACAAGGACTCGAACTCGAGATAATTTACTTAAGTGACTAAAGCTCTTTCCACTCAAGTCAACCCTTCGAGTTACTTGTGTTTCATTTTAAACACTAAATATGAACAATTCATTATGCATGTTATTAATTTGAAACCTTTCCTTAAATAATTGGACATGTTAACCACTCTACTTTTTGGACATGTTACTATTGTGTTTAATTATTTTTTTTAACATAATTGTTCTTATATAATATATATTTTAATATCTCTAAATGAGAACACTTATATCATTTGAATGTTAATCATTAATGTGTTAATATGCCAATTTTGCTTTTTAAAAAGTGAATATGTAATAATTATAAAAGTGAATAAAAATAACCATGTTATATTGATTTTTTTTATGAAGATATGTGCACTACGGAGACAATCACGTCTAAAACAAATGAGGCATAATGTTTATCATTTCCTACTTATAATTCTCGAAGATATATGTAATACAAGATAGGAAACTGCTATTGCCGGCTTGTAATACTTTTTTTCTTTTGTTTTTTTAGTATAGAGGAGGGACGCAAAGCTAATGCCTCGAAAACAAACACCAATAGTATAACTAGACAAAATATCTCTAAAACCTAATAGAGGATGATTCCAAACTCGAAAAAGAGTATCATTCGACGAACCAAAATAGATGAGATGGTTAGTGCCCCGATTACCTCCCCTCAAAATATGATTAAAGAACACATACTATTGTATTTGACAAAAACAACGAATGTCTATGATGTTGTTGTAGTAGGGATGAGTTTAAAGAACTCCATTACATATAACATTGACTACTTCTTAAGAATCAATCTATATATTCACTTTTCGAAAGCCACAATCCTAAGCAAGAGTGAGGCCCCGAAGAACCACTTCCAACTTTGCCATCATAACAAATGAGTGCCCATGATAACTTGAGAAGCTATTTTTTCACACACCACGAGTAATCTCAAATAAGATCCTCAATCTTAGCATGGGTAGTCAAGTTCAAGAAATTGCCATCAATATTACACTTAACTAAGTTTTGGGAGGGGCTAACCAAGAAATTCAGCACTAAGAGAGTTACCGATGGACATGAGATAAAAATTCAAAAACTAAAACACAATTATGAGCCGGAGAGTGAATTAGCCTTACCCGACATCCGGATGGGAGTAAAACACCTTGAATACCTTCTTTATTGCGTGCACACAAAATAATCCAAGCATGTAAGAATAAAGAACCAGCGTTGGTGTCAAGGGGTAGAAGAGCAAAAGGCATTGCCATGAAATTAGTCCTCAAACGAAGTAGAGAAGAAATAAGTGGAAATAGTTATGCTATGTAGTTGTCATCAAATATTCCGAGCCCAAACACAATCATGAAGAATATGTATCATTATTTCTTGAGCCACACCACATCTTTTACATATAGGAGAAATAGACATGCCACCGTGAAAACGGAGAGCATTAATGGGGAAGTGTTGTCATAGTTTTTTCTAATTATCAAAATAACCTTCATTATTTAATATCAATAGCATCCCATTTCTATTCGATTAAAAAAGAAAGGTGTCATCTCTCTCAATATCCATCATCTTCTCTAGTAATCACCCCTTGGTATCTAGTCCAAAATTTTAACTTTCAAGCCTTCCATTCAAGATCTAACTTAAGCAAAAATATTATATTGATAGTAGAAATGAAAGCTTGAGTGAGAAATAAATGATTAAATCGATGGATTTTTTTTTATAATTTGAATTCTCGGATAATAATGCAAAAACCATTATCTTTTTTATGCTTTAAAAAACATCGAAGATTAACTCGACCATTCAAAGTTCAATACTCAATAACTAGTTTTCATTATATGGTGGAAAGAGGAAGCAAAAAGTATTGCTTTCCAATTTTAGATGTAAAACAAATGTACTTAAATACCTATTTAATTTCTTACTTCTCTTACCACCGTATGTCACTAAAATTGGAATAAAACTACTATTGTTTTGCATAAAAAGATGAAACAAATGGGTGGGTGTGTGATTCGATGAAAAATGATTAGTGCAACCCAAGAACAAAATTTTAAAAACTCAATAGGATCGTGAGTGAAGGGACTCAAATGACCATAACAAGATTACCTAATTATTAATGAGTTCATATCCATTTAAAACTCGAATCTTATCATATTAGATTTGCTATTGTAATGCAATGATCTTTATATACCATTAAATCACCCTTGTTCTCTCTCTTTGGTCAACCATCTTTAAATTGATAGTACTTGTGTTGAGTTAGATGTTAATAAATGATTTAATCACATCAAATGTCCTTCTACTTATGTGATTTTCTTAATATGGCCCATGTACTTTTTTTGTATTCACTCCCTTGTTTTACTCTTCAATTTTTCTTAATGTGACTTCTCCGATCGTTTTTTGGCTAATTTTTTGATAAAAAATGACAACTCGATCAAAAAAATTCTACGTGACATCACACATCGTATTAATTTGTCATGTGAAAAAATTAGAAAAGAAAAGAAAATGCCAAAAATCATTAAAATTACAAAAATACTCTCAAATAATTTTGATTCAAATACTAGACTCGAAACAACCCATTTCCTTCCTTTTTCCTCACCCGAATACAAAACCCAAAACAACCCATTTTCTCATTTTCCTTCACATAAATACTAGACCCAAAAATTCATCCCCTCCTTCTCCCTTACCCACTAAGCCACACCCTCTTAGTCATCCAATGCCACCCTCCCTTTAACCACCATAACACTAGTCATTTCCCACAGCCTACATCATCGATCTCCACCCTCTCTGGTCACCATAACACTAGCCTCTACCTTACAAACCCTCATTGAAAACCTACCGTCCAAACCTCCTCTTACCATAAACCTCAACATTGAAAGCCATCCTCCTCTCGCCACAAACCCAATCTTAACACCAGCTTACACAACCTAACTAAACCCTTTCGAGCACCATGTCTTTAGCTTAAACAATGCCAAAAAACTTGAAACATGGCCTTTAGAGGTATTAGACCAAAGATAAAGGATCTAATGTAAACTCCATCCCAACCCCGCACAATAATTTCTTGATCCCATGAAAAATCATTCCTTGATAGCTTTTATGCCAAATGCAAAGCAAATTAATGCTTCTTTTTATTTTCCGAGATTCATTAAATAAGAAAAAAGAGAGGAAGATTAACATTTTGAGTTTGGTTGCTTCTTTTTATTTTTCCAAATTCGTTAGACAAGAAAGAAAGAGAGGAAGATGAACATTTTGAGTTTGGTCGAGATTTGGGGTGTAGAGAAATACCTTCAAAGAAAAACCCGCAAATTGATACATTGATCCCTTTTAACACAACAAATGAACGACCACAAACAATCCAATATATAAAGAATCAAATACCGGATTGTAGATATAGTTATTAAATTCTCATTAGTTTTAATCTTAACACCATTATCTCAAGGGTAGTTTTATGATTTTAATGATTTTTGGTTTTTTCTTTTTCTTTTATTTTTTCACTTATTCACATAGCAAATTAGTCTAACGTGTTGTTTCACATGAAATTTTTTATGCTAGCTATCATTTTTTATCAAAAAAATTGACTAGAAAACACTAGGAGGGGCCACATTAAAAAAAATTAAAGAGTAAAATGAAGGGTTGAATAAAAAAAGATACAAGGTTCACATTAAGAAAATCACAAGAATAGAGAGATGTTTGACGTGATTAAACCGTTAATAAATGAACAACACTTCTATTACAAAAGCTTCAAAGTAATGTGATAGATGCTACGAAAAGGATTTTGGAATGTCACGACCTATGCGGATGGTGGGTTCTTTATGAAGTAAAAGGTTATAAATGACATTTTACTTTTTCTTTTATCTTTTTTGTGTTTTATTTATTATTATTTTTTAATTTACATTTGATTTATGTCCTAATTTTATCATTCTATTAACTTTTTGGACAAATGGTCTTAAATTACAATAGTAACTTCATAGGATTGTGACATGTGTTAGCTTGTTTTTTTCTTAATCATGGTTTTTTAAATCTTTTTTCATTTTAATTTTTTAATTGAATTTAAATAAATAAAATTGGAAAAAAAGTGAAGCCTAAATATATATATATATATATATATATATATAATCCAAAATATTGTTTAAATTTATGTTTATGATAGTAGAAAATTTTTTTAGCATAAAATAAAATATTTATAGTATTTTTTTTTAAATGTGAAAAATTTTAATTTTAATTTTTTAATTTAACTCAAAAGTGAGAATATAAATTTATGTTAGTGTTGGATCCAATACTAACGAATTTTTTAATTTAACTAAAATTTGAAAAATAAATTTATATTGTCACTTTTTAGTCAAAGTAAGAAATTTATGAAATCAAAATAAGTAAATTATAATAGATTCTTTAAAGGTATTATCAAATTATAAAGATCATTCAAAATCTTAAAAATTTAATTAAAACTCTCTTCATATTTTTTTAAAAAAATACTATAAATATTTTATTTTATATTCAAATTTTGTTTATTTTTATAGAGATAAATTTGAACTCATAAAGAATTTTTTTGATAAAAAATATTTTTAGCTTCACCTTTTTTTAGTTTTTTTTTTAAATTTCAATTTCTAGAGAGAATGATTGAATGTATATTTATTTTATTTAAATTTGATATAAAAAAAAGATTAGGTGTAATATCCCTGTCTCAAAAATTTTATTGTTTATACATATATGAATACATAAAGACATACATGAATACAAATTTATATACATATAACTTGTTAGAGGGGTTTAAGAAATATATTTAGTGGTCAATGGAGTTAGGTGTCAAGTTAGTCTTGGTTGAGGGACTTATAAAAACTTTACCAAGATAACTATTTAAACTTATCTTCCAAGATCGGATTTTTGTTTTATCATTTCTATCATCGTGGTTGGCCACCCTAGAGAGAGAAAGAGAGAGAGCTTGAGTTGTTCATAACTAGTTAAAAACAAGGCAAGAGAAGAGTGGAAAATCTAGAGAAAAATTGAGAGCAAGTGAGGAATCATATGGAAAACCTAGTTTAACAACCAAAAGCAACCTAAAGCAATCTTAGAGCAAGAAGAAATCAAAGGAAAGAGTTGATTTAGAGGAAGTTAACTAGAGATTTAGAGAAATTGAGTCAAGTTCTTGATTAATCTTGAAGAAAGGTGAGGTGTTATGTGATTCTTGTTAAGTTCTTAGTCCGTTCGATTTTGAATTACAATTATTGGTACTTTAGGGTTAGAATTTGAGTTTTCTCGAAGGATAAAAGTTATAGATTATAATTTGATTTAGTAGCCTACCAAATTTGGGACAAATTGAACTAGTATATTTTCCTCTAAGCCTCTCAATATCTAGCTATTATATTTTAGGTAGAAAATTCTACAACTAGAGTAGATTTCATAAAATCACCATAAATTGTGTACTTGGAATTTAGGGTTGATTTTTGGCTACGTTATAGTAATACGAGTTTAGTCTTATAAAAAACTAGAATCATGTAATTTGGATTTATATTTTATGAACTAGGGTTAAAAGAGTAAAAAAAAGTGTTCGTTGCTACTAAAAGGATTAAGTCGACCAAAGTTTCTTATTTTTCACCTTTAGAAGTCTTTGAAATTTATGAGTAATAAAATAACTTATGAGATGATCTATATATATGTTTTAGACCCCAAAGATCACGAGGTATAAGATGTGGTGCATTGAAGAATGTTACGGGACTTCATTTTTATGAGTGGATATATTTGAGATATCAAATGATTGTTTGATGCCATGTTTCCTTGTTTGTTATTTGATGTTAATGACCTATTTCAAATTATTATGGTGAATCATATGCTTGTGTATGATTCATGATATGACTTATGTAAGATGATATGTACAAGTATGTGTCATGTGAGACATTCATGATACATACAGGATTAAAAAAGGTAAGGTTATGATCGACATGTTTAGATATTTACAAATACAAGTTATAAGGAACGGACGAGTCGGATATAAGCTATAGGAGCTCACCGATAATACAAGTTTACAAGTTTCAAATTATAATTTTCCGTGGCGATACTTGACGTGTTTAGGTCATAATCGACAAGAAAAGAACACGTAACATGATGATGCATGAATTTATATGACTTGATTATATGCTCTTGTTTGGTGATATGAATTTGTGTTATGGTATCGATGATGATTATCCCTCATTGAGTAGCATCTCACTAAAAATGCTATTTTATTTAGATATCAAGAAGGCACAAAGTTAAAGTTTGTCTCTTTTGCTTCTCGTCGATCGTTATAAGCAACATGTTGATCGGCAACCTCCTCTCTTCTCTCTTATCATGACAAGCATTTGCATTCTAATGGAAATTTTTTATTGTATAAAATCCCAAATGATGTAAATGTGACATGTTAAGGAATAAGAAAGGGTAAATTTTACATTAAATTTACTAGTATTTATAGTAGAAAAGATAGAAGATAGAAATGCATGAGCCAAGCCAATATGTATATCAAAAATGAAATTCATTTTGGCAATTTTTCCTTGAGACACACACACACGGGTGTGCGGAATTTGTCTCTTAAATCGTGTCACGTGAATCGGCCGTGTGTCTCATTTTTCCTTAAAATGATGCCTCTTTCTTAAGACACGCATACGGACGTGCTAAATTTATCTTTCAAATCGTGTCATATGACACTACCCGTGTGTCACTTATTCTCTTTGAATGGGTGTTTATTCATTGAAACACACATGGGCATGCTCCAATTGCCCTCCAAGCCATGCTAAAGGCCATTGCTCGTGTGCTAGCTTTTCTATTGAATGGTTTTTTTTTTTTTTTTATGACCCGTACATGGGCCGTATAGATGCATGCATGTAGAGAAGCTAGGTCTTTACATTAGGACATAAAAAGAAAGTAAAAGGACGAGATTAAGACATAAAAAAAAAAATTGACTTTTATCACAATCTTATGATGCTATTGGGCTAACAATGTGATCTATCATCGTTAGTGTAAAAACTTAACGAGGAATGAGATTAAGATATAAATCAAATGTAAATGAATGAATTTAAATAAATAAAGAAACATGATATAGACGAATTAAAAAAAAAACCCTACAACCATCAATCCGTTCTTTATGAAAAAACAAAAAAAGAAGGTTATTTTGATCATTTAAAAGAAGAAGCTTGAAAAAACTCTGCCAATAGTAATTCCCTAAAGGAATTGACATTGCAATCAAGATTTTAAACTCCTTTCGAAATTTTTTTAATTTATTCTTACACAATTGGATATTTAAAAAAGGAAATATTAAAAAAAAAAAAACTATATGTTGTATTTAAAAAAATTAGACATACATGTACAAATAATTTTCTAGCTAGTGACTCAACATATCTACAAAGTCTCTCATTTATTTGGGGGAAAAAAAAGCTAATTAAGTTTCTACTCCTGTCATAGTACAAGTTGAAATGCCCTTGTCGAGGATAAAAGAAGAATAAGCTTGTAATCTAATAAAATGGATATGTGCATACATAAACAGTTAAATTAATATAAAGTATCGTTGTTACGGAGTGTTGGGTTTAAATTTTGAAAAGATGAGGGTCTGCAGATTGAACTGAATACCTCCTTGAGCATTTAAAGCAGGCCAGAATCCGTGCGGTGAGGCTACGACCTTTTTTTTTTGGTGGATGTGGTCAAAGATATATTTTTTTAGAAAAACAGAGATTAATAAGTTTGACGGCAAGTTGATGGCTGTAAAAACGGGAGACAAAGACACCTGACAGGCCGAGAAAAGCACAGTACCTAGGACGTGCCTGATTTTAAACCTCTAAACCAATTTTATTGGTTTGTTTATGATTTTCTTTTAATTTCTCTGTTCTTTTTCTAAATTTTCATAGGATTTAGACTTTTTTGGGTAAACAAAAAATTAGATTCAAAGGAAATAATAAATCATAATTAAAAATATACGAGAGGATCTACATTTAGGTTAGCCTTTAAGTCCAATCTTTCTATTTGTGTTGAAGAGATACACATAAGTTTTGAAAAATATTTCATACTAGTTGAGAAATAAATCATTAAAATAAGTGTTTTTTTTGGTTAAAAAAATGATCTTAATTTTTTATGTGTTGATCCCGAATTAAATTACTTGGAATTCAAAAGTGAAAGAAATTATCTTATCTACTAACAATGGACAAAGTGGTGTATTACCCAATCTCACACCTATTCCCACAGCTGTTAATATCTTGACCCCATCAAGCTCACAAACTCTTTGGCCAAATAATTCTACTTTCAATCCCTGTTGGAAAATTTAATTGCAAAGAATCATTGATTCATTCCTCATACAACTAAACTAGTCTGAATCATATATGATTGTTAAAAATAGTTCTTATTATATTGAGATTTGTGATATATATATATATATATATATATATATATATATTTGGCAGGATAATTGCTATGCAATTTATTTTGGTTTTGGAACAGTTTCTTGAAATAATTCTTTCTCATTGAGCATTTCGTTTCGGATAAACACACTTTAAAAAGATTTTTTTCCCTACACTGATTACACTTTCACAGAACTAGAATAAATTATAAATTAACTTTTCTTGTTTTGAAAGATGAATGAATTAATTGGTTTGTTTTGTAAACTAATTATTTAGTTTCTTATGGATGTTAAACACATTTGATTTTATATTATTTATTTTAATTTTTTTTAATTCGTTATTCTTTTTATAACATCTCTTTATGTTTTCTTTCTATTTTTTAAATAATAATAAAAGAAATAAAATGAATAAAATAATTAATTTTTAAAATAGGAGATACTAACTAATTCATTTCTTAAGAAAACCAGAAGGGTTAATTTATAATTTTACTCTAAAAAAGCCTTAGACACGTCTACTGAAAGTATACGGGTACTGTGTGGTTGCTCGAGGGCACGAATTTTGAGGAACAGACATGGCAGTAATTCATGCCAAATCAACGCTGATCAAGTGAGGTCCATAAAGTGATCAACGGTTATAAGCAATATCGTGTCACTTTCGTTCCACGAAAGCATGCTACTATTTGCCCGTTGCTGAAGTAGTGACAGCGACGATGCTGCAGGTCTATCTCTTCATAAATGCTTAACATTCAATATATTATCCTAATAATCATCTCCGATCAATTATATGAGCTATGGTTATGATAAACTGCACATCTGTCCTAATGGTAGAGCTGAATGGACCATTTGTTTCTTGGGGTGGAGAAGGCGAAGATGAGCAAAATAATGAAGCTGCAGCCGTCCGAGAGGACCCATTGTAACTTGGTAGCTGTGAAGGGCAAGGAGTAGTAGTAGGAGCATGCGGTGCCAGTTAAGACTGCTGCAGTTTTAGACCCTACCGTAAAATTTACAGCAAAACATAACATATTCGCATGTCTTTGAATTTAGTGATGAACTTTTGGGTTTTTCTTGTCTCATTCAACTGTACGTAGGAGAAACGGAAGGCAAATCATTGATATACAAATTTGCTTTTAGTGAAATTTGCCAGGAGTTTTTTATCATTAGCCTACTTTTTTTTTTTTTTTTTAACTCACGTATTCAACATACATCAATTACACATTTAATGTATACTTATTATATACTCAACATACACTTAAAACTTTTATTAAAACTAATTTATTGATTTTTAAATTCATAACTTTTTACAAGAGATTATTATCACTGAGTTATAAATTTTTAGTCATCTATATATATATATATATATATATATATATATAAAAGATGTAGTTCATCTAAACATAGGATATGTTTTTGGTTTCATCTTTAAAAGGTGTATTAGAAAACACTCGAAAATTTTCATCTCTTTCTAACCCATTTCCTGTGATGCGTAACAGTTATTGAAATTTATCCTGAAATTTTTTCTTTAACTTGAAAGGTTTAAATGGAAACATTTCCAAAAGTTTAGGGACTAAATTATCATTTTTGAAGCATGCGAATAAAACAAAACTTGGCTATCTCCACCATCGAGATACGCTTCATAGCTGCAGAAACCACCTTTCTGACTGGATGACTAGAAAATATGAATCCCAACCGATAAACACCCTAATCATATTTTTGCACCGTTTTCATTGAAAAATACATCAAAATCATTCTCACAACTTTTATAAACACCTTTTCAACCTCAAAATCCACATCAGTTCATGTTTAAACAACCAAAACTTAAATCAATTGTTGCGAGAATATCATAACTCTAGTACTCACAATCATGCGACATACATATGCTACGATGAACTGTTAGTTTTAATTGCAGTTTTCTATTGAACAGAGTATTTTATAAACTGTGAATCGAACACACATATATCCTACGTGCATTTCCTTTTTTAAGCTTTTGAAAATTATTTTTTTATGTTGATCAAAAATAATTTTTCTTTCAAATGTTTTATGGGTATTTCATCATAAAAGTCATAAAAAGGTCTACAAAGAAAATTAAAATATGAGGTTTCAATGTTAATTTTTTTCTTAAAAGGAAATAGAAGAATACCCTAATTTAGTACATGGATTTATTGACCTATTGAACATCTCAGCCCTTTGATGTAATTTTAAGTCAACTAACACATTGCTCTCCTCCATATTTTAATAATAGTAATTTGTCCATTGGAAAAAAAAAGCACGAAGACCTCGGGCAGAATCAGCACCCCACACATCAAAGAAAATATAAAACTGAATGCAATAAACTATTCCATTAAATTAGAAAAAACAGAGAAGACAAACAGACAGTTTGAATTGTTGGACTCGAAGTCGGAAAGGATTTAGAAGGTCTATGCTTAATTAGCCGACCACGCATCGGCATTCACACGGTTTGCTTTCCCAAAGACCGAGCAGCTGTGCTGGGGCGCGCCAGAGCGATTCGGGTTGGATTTGGCTCGAAGGAACTAGAAATACGATAGTTATTAATATCAATATAGACGTGAAACACTTTCCTTTCTTTATTGCAATCAATGCTCAGACAAATTGAATTATACATGAATCCTTACATTCATGGGGACAAAAAGATATTTTACAATCCGAATAATTTTCAATGGACGGAGCAGCTAGGGGATGAAAATGAAAATTCAAAGCCAACTAATTGCACACTTTGTATTTACAAATATGTCAAATATATATATATATATATATATATATATATATATATATATATATATATATATATATATATATATATATATGTTCTTATTTCGGTTAATTTAGCATGTGTATTTCTAATTTTGTCAATTAAGTATGATTTTAAAAAATTAATAGTTTTTACATAGAATTTGAATTGAAAAAAAAATACTTTACTACACAGTGGAACTCACATAAGGTATTCATATTTAACTGATTGTGTCAAAATTTTTATTTAAATTGTATACAAAAATCATTAATTTTTTCAAAACATATTTAATTAACCAAAATTAAAAATAGATATTTTGAATTTATGGAATTAAAAATACATAAATTTATTTAATGAATTTATAAAAAATACGTAATATTTGTTCTGACTTGTTGCCATTATCCAAACGATAGCCACACTACTCAAAAGCAAAGTGCCTTGTACCCGAAAGCATTCGTATGTTTCAAACCAAAATGTGTGCCTGTGAGATTTCTAATATGTACCCTATTAGTTCGTTGAATTTCTGCAAATTGTATAAAATTATTTCAGCTCGAATGATGTAACATTTTTTTTTAAAAGAAGTTGATATATGATACGTTTCAACATATTCTACTTAAAAATTAACTATTTAATTAAGAATTGATTCCGAATAAAATGATCTTGATCAATTGTTAATGACCATGACATGTAAAAATTTATAGAATCAATACACACAAACGATTGGAATAAAAAAATATTTTTCTATCCATTTGATAAACAAAAGACATTTATAAATGAAAACATAGCTTTTTAAATAATTTTTATCGCATCATCATCAACTATGACCATATACATAGTATCATGATATGAAAACCATCATTTAAAAAGATCCGAAACTCTCCGGTGGATGTTAAAAACTATTGAGCATGTTAGACAAGATCATTTTAACTTACATTTCATGCAAATTGAACACATCTTCTTTTATATAAAGGTTGACAAGCTAAATACAAAGATCATCATTTAAGAAGATCCAAAACTCTCAAATGGATGTTAAGAAAGAATCATTGAGCACACCAAAAAAGATCATTTTGCCTTACATCTCATGCAAATTGATCACACTTTTTTTACATAAAGGATGACAAACTAAATGTTATAGGTTTTGTTTTATAAATTTAAACTAGCTACATTATCAACTATCTCTTACGTATAAGAACTATTTTTTTTTTTTTACTCAAGCTAAACATCTCACTTTGTAAGTTAATTTACCGATCAAAATGCCTTCTAAACATCACTAAAATACTTATTTTGTAAATACTTATTATTGAATCAATATTTGTTATGTTAAAATTTTCATAATCAGTTTGAATTGAAAACTATCTCATCCGCAATTATATTTTGAAGATCTCGACCTCTCGTCAGAATGTTTAGGTGATAAGGAAATATGATTTTTTCTTTTTCCAAGGATGGTCACGTTCATGGAATTATACGATCGAGTATGGATGGATTTATAGGAAGCGTCACATATGTTCCCCAGTCACACGTACGTTTGTCTATGATTGCGATTTAATTTCCACATTGAATTGAAGAAGAAGAAAAATGAAGTAAACAAAAAAGATTTTTTTAAAAAAAGAAGTCAACTAAATGGTCGGAAGTGGATAACGCATTTCTATTGTTGCCTCCTTTGGAACGACAACAATAATCACACTCATGTCCATAGGCTGCTTTGTTGATTTTTTTCCCCCGAATTGCAGTAATTTTTATGTATGGTTGTGTAGTTTATCCATGCATGAGGTTTTATTATTTTATAAAAATATCCAGATACATATATAATCAAGCCTGTCTTTATATATTGTTCATTCATTCAAGATACATAGGCATCAACGATTGCAAAAATTTATTTTCAGGGTGTATGTAATAATCGAATATCGGTGCTGATAATTTATTTTCAAAGTGTATGTAAATAATCGAATATCGGTGCAACCAACAGAGCTATATCAAACCATATACAGCAATACCAAATGAAATTTAGTTAATTAACAGCACTTAATTAATTTGATTTTTAACCATTACTAATATAAATCTTAAAAATTTAGCGTAATAATTAAAGAGATTTGCTCAATTTCTTAACTTTTTTTATGTTCATACTTCAAGAGTAATATATAGAAAAATTTATTATATATCTATAAATATTCTAGATTTATGTAGAAAGATATTTTTAATAATATTTGAAAATAAATTTAATTTGAATTTATACGTAAACGGATGCGAGATTCTAGGTTTAAATTTCAGCAACTCCACGTTAGTCCTTTCAAATGTTAGTACCAATGGACCTTTGACCCATGATAATGGCCTCTGCTTTCTTCCAAACCCCATGCCACATTAGCTTATTTTTGTTCCGGCTTTGTTGCTTTTCAGTATTCGTACTGACCAAAAAAGGGCGAAAAATTGGCCTGCCGCTTGTCGAAAAATTGTCTATCATAAGGATATCTCGATGACATCACTGCAAACGGCTGCAAAGGTGTAAGCTGGTCAAGTCCAAAGCTACGAATCTTGTTTTTCCGATTTCCATAATCTAAGTTACAACTTGAGCCAATTAACATCGAGCTTTAGCATTACTTTAAGATTTGATAAGATTTCATCATAGAAGGCAAGAAAGTTAATTCGGAAAAACTTGAACTCAATTCAGGCAACATAAAATGTTTTGAGTTCGAATTCATGCATTACGACAGAATTGAGCTCAATTCCTTTCAAGAGAAACATTTTTGCTTCTCTGATATAGACCACAGCAATAATGCTCTTCATTTCTACCATCTGAAATCTGAATGGCAAGCCAGAAACACATATTTAGCACAAACTAGGCAATGAACTTCCGAAATGAAAAACTATTAATTAATCCTAAGAATATGAATTAGACACTTTACAAGCTGTCCTTTACAGATATCTCTCCACGCTAGGTGTTACCGTATATACAAAAATAGGAATGGTTAAGTGCTGCCCCAACACTAGTTTACAAAAGTAGATATCAACAACATTTGACTAGGAGGAAGATGATTCAGTAACTGTACTTCTTCCGCAAACCTGAACCAGAGACTCGCCTTCCTGCCAAACTGTGTTTCACACAACATATGAAAGAACGTATGAATAAGGGAGAGAGCACTGAAATTTCATTGCTTATCATCAAATGCAGAAATGATTAAAGGGCAAACTGCACATAAATCACAAGGAATACATACTCAGAAGACCCAGAGCCTGATTCATCACTCTCATAGGCAACACTGTTCTTATTAAACTGAACCGAAATTAAAGCTTCGCTAGTAGCAACTGCTGGCTCAGGAGACCCTTTTAAAGACACGCTTCCACTGTTTCTGGAGCTAATTCCTGAAAGCAAAACTTTATACTCTGTCACTAATGTAAAGGTTAAATAGCAATACTGCTATCACCTTAAAATCAGAAACAACTCTGGGACATGGGTCTAATGACCTAAAAATTCTCTGTAAAAAGCATAGGCACGACAGCATTCGAGAATATGCTAGTAGACAAGGCCAAACATGCGCGAAATATTGGATGGACGAATGCAAAATATAGGTTCAAATCCTATTAGCTACTCGGACCAAGGAGATGAGAAAATGATTTCTCACAAGTCCTACTAACTCTAACTAGATCAAAAAGGTGAATCTGACTTAGTTCACGCTAACTGACAAGAGAATACTACCTGACAGTGAAAAAAAAAAAAATAAGAAAAGAAAACTTGAAGTGAACCCACTTAATTAACAAAGGAAATGTCCCCAAATGTCAGCCTTACAGAGGCATTTATGACTAGCACCACCGAGAAAACTCAGCAACCATAATTCCAACATTCTTAGACAGAAACTCTTACCGAGCTTCAGAAATTAGCCACAAGAATTGCCCACAACCAGCTTCCTAGAGTAATGATATAGGAAGTAAAGCAATTGCATTAGTCAATAAGCATAGTACAAACAATTGCAGTTATAAGAGATCAATGATAAGAACACAAGATCCCTACTCATGACAAATGGAAGAGTAAGCCCTGAGAAGCATTGAACATTTCCACAGCGATCCATTGAGAAATTCTTAGATGGCAAGCACTGGCTTGTGGTGCAACTCATAAAAAGGAATCAAAGACGAGATCTCAGTGGCTGGGGAATAATAGCCTTACCATTTCTTTCCCTTTTCTTTTTATTAGCATCCAATGCACATTATGCTGTCCTAATCATTATTTGAAGTCCAGCAGAAATGAAATTATTCCTTTCCATCTTCCATAGCAAATCAGAAAGAAGATTGATCTTTAGATTACAGTTGATATGGAAGCAAAAGAACTCATCCCAAGGGGACTTTTTCTTCAGGAAACATGTCAAGAAGGCTTTAAATACACGCTGCAATGTGTTATGTATATTTTATCAATTGCCACAACTGATTGTTAAAATCACAAAAAATAACAAATCTACAAAATGTAAATTAATAAAACGAACTTACTCATGTCATGTCAAAGGTAATAAATACAAGTCACACAAGATAGATTTATCTACATGAAATATGCAAACCAGTTCAAGATAGGGAGATAGGGACAGAAGAGGATTAAATTAAACTCAATATCAACACATATAATGAACATAATTACAGGCAAGAAATGCATCTTCGTCCAAAGGAGAGCAGCAAAGTATCCAAATTGTTTCTTATCTTTTGTTTATGTCTAGTCAAGAGTTTAGAAATGTGGCAGAAGATTCAAGTCCAAGCTGTAAAGCTAGTCAAGTTTCAGGTTAAAAGCTTTTTGAAAGTATTCCACCCTGATTCTATCTACCAAGTTGTTTGCAGATATTCACATTGATTCATGCATAAACACGCACATTAATGAATGAGTGAAACAAAAGAAGCTCCTAATAACCATATTGCAAGCTTCAAAGGGGATTCTATGAGCAGTTAAGTCAGAGAGTATGCACATTGCCCGTTAGAGAGAATGCATCATGTAAAGTTGTCAGTTAACTTCTCTCCTCATCCTTGATTAATATCAAGCATTATGTATAATTGCATAGAAAAACAGGATTTAAAGTTGTTGGTATTGATTAGCTGGAATTTCACAAATGAGTAAAGAGAGTCATGGTTTTGTGGGAAAAAGTAATATAAAGGGAAACTAGGCAAGATGTGACTTCAGCACAAGAAAAATCTAAGATCTAAAGGAATTTGACAGAATTTCCATACAAGGATCAAAGGGTACATAAATGGTATTTTAATGGGCATGCATCTGCGGCATAGTACATGAAACTTCAGAAAACCTGAAAACTAAAGACAAGTATAACATTACATTTTTAAGCAATCATTTCCAGCCAAGAAAAACTTATGTTGGAGCAATCCACCTTGTGGGAAGTTGGGATGAAATATCGATTGAACATGGAATAGAAGCTAAAAAGCAAGAGGTTAAGGGGTTGTTTTCAGTCTTCAGACCCTGCTCTGGTATTTCCATAGCAGCCAAATTCAAGGTTTGTCATTTTAGCTACAGGCAGTAAGTTGGTTGAGTTCATGGCATCAAAGAAGTTGAGCTGAGCACTTGAAAGAGGACACATGACTTCGAGCTTGAAACAGATTGTTTAGTGCTGGATGAAGACTCACAGGAGTTTTTACTCGTGATCGTGTTGATGTTGAAGCAATTCTGCATGATCCGACGTTAATGACTCCTGAGGCTCAATTATCACTTGTTTGCCATATAAAACATAAAAAAGATGAGGTTGTGCATATATCAGCTAGGTGTGGCTGTACCCGGAAGAATCCCTGATGAAATATTTAAAAACCAGCTTTGTCCCCTCATTCTGGAGGATTTGTTAGGACGAAGTACTGATTTGATGTACTTTGATTGTTATTGATTAACACAAAATTTTCTGTTTTTCACTTTTAAAAAAATTCTATTCCAAGAAAAAAAACATCCCAAAATTATTACAAACTTTTCACTTATGTTTTCCTGGTCAGATTCCATGACATTCAGAAGAAACAACTGATGTTAAACAAAACATTAAAAGGATAGTCCCAAGAAGAAGAAAAAATCACAAAAATATTATGAACATTTCACTTACATTTACCGGTCAGATTCCATGACATTCAGAAGAAACAACTGATGTTAAACAAAACATTAAAAGGATAATTCCAAGAAGAAGAAAGAGTCACAAAAATATTATGTACATTACACTTGTATTTACTGGTCAGTTTCCATGACATTCAGAAGAAACAGCTGATGTTAAACAAAACACTATCAGATAATAGCAAAGCATAGTTATAAAATTGAAACGATGGTGGAGATTTTTATCAGGGGCTAGTTTTGGACGCCCAATCTAATAAGCATATTTGTAAATTGGGAAACATGCTTGAGATTCCTATCATGACCAAATTTTAGACAAAAAATGCAGCTTGTTAGTGAATAGACTGGATATGCAACATATGAGTAGTATGAACACAGTTCTTGGGATGAGACCAATCGAACTTGAAAAAGCCACTATACCTTGATAGATAATAACGAGGCAGAAGAGGATTGTGATAACCATGGCAGACAAGCTGCTGCTCCAAGATGATGCCTGTGCTGCTCTCATCTTCTTTAGTGCTTTAAGTCTTTCAATCCTGGCACGTTTTCTCATGGCAAGCTCAGTGATTTCTTTCATCAACTTCTGGTCAGCAGCATCCAGTGATAGACCATTAGGGGGCCTTGGTGGCTTGGGAGGTTTTCTCAAATTTTTCTTTAGATGTTTCTCTTCGACATCCTTCCTATCCACAAAGTTTTTGTTCTGTTGTCCCTCTTCTCCTTCTGAACTCTTGTCTATCAACAGCTCCACATCCTCAGCAGCAACCTCACCAAAGTTTGATGAATTCGCCAATCCATGAAAACCCACAGGTCCAGTATATGTCCTCTTTAAAAGTGTCTTGGTTTGCCCACTTGCTGAAATGGGATCACTCATTCTATCTTCTTCGCTGGTTGTCCCACCACTTTCAAGATCAACTTCAAGCTCCCTTTCTCTCAAAACAAATCGACTCATCATCCAAGGTAGAAATCTATAACACTATTCTCCCGCAATTTCTTAGCCAAACACACTTTTATTATTGTGTTGCGAAACTCGAGCCCTCACAGTAACACAAATGAAGATTTCACCTCAATCAAATCCTATAAAAGCAATTCTTCATTCCAAGCCAAAATCACCTCAATAAACCCTAGAAAAGGAATTCTTCAGTCCAAGCTAAAACAAAGAGAACCCTTGAACAACTGCACTGTCCAAATTTGCTCACAAATGTGAAATGCAGAGCGCCCTCGTAATTCAGAAAATTTTTTCGCTAGCCACCCACAGTTTCTCAATCATGTTGAATTACCTAAGAATTCTCTATACATTAAAAAGACCAAATATTTTCACCCAAACCTCAAACAATCAACAAAACCCAGCAAGCCAGAACCGATTACGTTAAACATAAAATTTCAATGCTGTATCAATAAAGTTGAAAATGTCAAAAAGACAAACATAAGGGATAAAAACAAACAGAAATAACAATCATCAAACGATCCATATCTGATATCATAAAAAATTGTTCCCTTAAGCTAGCATTTTCGGAAACTTTCGAATTTAGAGCTTGTTTCTTTGCTATGTTCAGCTTCATAAAGCAATTCTGATAGCGAAGAAACCAGAAGAACTAAAAAAATAAAAGATAAACAACAAAACAAAATAAAAGATAAATTAAATATACCTTTAGCTTTAGCTTCGATGAAGGACGAGGCTCGCAAAGGGAGGATTGAACGTGGGTTTCGTATAAAGATAAAGGTGTCCCTAATTTAGATGGTTTCCCTCGCTTCCTTATAATTAGCATTCACCATCCCTTTTCTTTGTTTCTTAGCATTCAGCATCGACGGAAACGAGAACAAAAGTAATTAACGCAAATTTAGTAAAGTACTCCACTCACTAACCTAAATTTCAAAAACAATTAAGGAAACAAAAAACCCATGTAGATGTACCAACATTTTATCCAAAACACACAACCAGAGACCACAGCAGAACTAAACTAGTTTTAGTAGTATTAATTCATCAAAATCTGAGACTTAAGTCTTGATGGTTGTGCTCTTTTCGAACGTGTCACCATGTCCAAGGACGGCAGATGGTGTTTGGCAGTCATCAGCAAGACGTGTCAGGCTCATATTGAAAAGTAGGAAACTGTCAAACTTCAATCAATTCTGACATTGCTCTTTCCAAACGGATAAAACGCACTGCCAGGGAATTGACTAAGTATTTTTGAAATTTTTTTTTTAAAATCAACATTTATTTATTAACGAGCTACCGTCTGTTTAAATATTTATCTTTCTTTCCTATTTATTAATAGAATAAGATAAATTTATTTATCCTTTCTTTACTTATTTAATTATCTGACCCTCTGAGTTTTGATAACAGCATCTTGTTACGGAATGTCCGTGCGTGACAGTCCAACATCTTCAGCGGGTTTTGACAAAGAAAAAAACAAAAGAAAGAAAGAAAAGAAAAAGGAAAAAGGAAAACTGTCAGGCCCAAATCACCCCTTCTATTATGAATTTAAGCGGGCCACAAGAATGACAAAAACAAAGTCCATCGTCCCATGCGCATGGTGGCTGGCATTGTCTTGCTTGACTTCATGATTTGCCCAAGTGAGAGTGACGAATCAAAAACATAGGCTTGTTTAGCGAATGGAATCCAAATGGTGGGGTAAAGAGAAGGCAGACGAATGGAATCCAAAATATTATGTACATTTCACTTGTATTTACTGGTCAGTTTCCATGACATTCAGAAGAAACTGCTGATGTTAAACAAAACACTATCAGATAATAGCAAAGCATAGTTATAAAATTGAAACGATGGTGGAGATTTTTATCAGGGGCTAGTTTTGGATGCCCAATCTAATAAGCATATTTGTAAATTGGGAAACATGCTTGAGACACACAAATTATGCGGCTTGTGCTTTATCCATCTCTCCAACCATAGAGAGATGGAAAAGCAAATAACAAAATGAAATGACGTATATGGGACATCAATATTGGACCGAATATGTGTACATACGGGCCTAACAAGTTGATAACCGAAGAAGTAGTGCTTGTGAATGGGTAATATCTATCTTTCCAATTTTTGAAACTTTTTCTGTTAGTTACAGACTTACAGGCAATAGCTAGTGTGGAATATATTTATTTTAGCCCCTCCAAATCTTAAATGATATACATCGGATTTCAAAGGCAACTAATATGATTTAATTGTTTGAGACGTTTTGTTTTCTATATATAGGATAGGTAAAAATCACAAATTTTGTAGCAATCGTTATTTTTAAAAAAAAATGACAAAGAAGAAAAAAAAACAGTGCAAAAATGTTTAGATAAAAGGAAAAAAACATATAAATAAAATGTGGTCGAGGGACTGAAATATAAAAGGTACACAATATTGAAACCTAAAGTTGTGTGTCCGTAATATGCATTAGTAAATTATAAATAAACCAAACCCAAGATAAGGCATTCGATTCCTTTAAAAAGGAACAATTGATATAGAGATGTTTACGTTTGATTAGCACTATTTGCAAAGACTTTTAAGTTTTGCCTTGAGATAGTAGCAAACAATCCCCAGAGATACTTATGTATGCAAAAGGTGCAATTTTTGTTGTTGTTTCGGTTTACTTAGCTCAAATTTTACATAAAAATATATATATATATATATATATCAATACCCTCGCCTATTCTTATATAATAGGTCAATTTTACAATCAGTCTCTAAATTTTAAAATACATATAATCTATTTTTATTATTTGAATTAATTTTTAATCTATTATTCTGATCAATTTTTTCGATCAAATTACCCAAAAATATCATACCACCTTGCTTTGATAAAAATGACCCTTTGTGGCTTGACATGTTAAATTTCTAATATATCATTATATAATGGATTGAGTTTTCAATCTATCATTAATGCTAAAGTGTCCATTATATTATTGTTATTAATTTTCTTGATAATGTGTTGAAAATTTTATGTTAATTAAAAATATATAAAAATAATTAGTATAAGTTATTATGTAATTGTTCAAGAAAATATTAGTTAACATATTTTTAATACTAAAGAGTCTATTGTGTTATAATAATTCACTTATGTAAAATATCAAACAAGTTGATATAATATTTAGCAATATATTAAATCATCTTTATGAAAGAAAAAAATGTGAATCTTCTACAATATATATATATATATATATATATATATATATATATATATAAAGAAAATATGTAAATTTTTTTAATTACATGATTAAAAACTAATTAAAAATTACTTAAATATAATTATTTATTTTTTAATTGCATGGTTAGGAGACTAATTAACAATTACTTAAATATGATTTTTTTTATTACATGCTTAAGAGACTAATTAACAACTACTTAAATATAATTATTTGTTTTTAATTGCATGTTTAAGAGACTAATTAACAATTACTTAAATTTTTAATTACATGCTTAAGATACTAACTAACAATTACTTAAATGTAATTTTCTTTTCAATTTCTTAAAAAATTACTTTCTAACTTGTCCTAATTATTTTAATATATTTTTAATTAACAAAAAATTCACTATAGTGCAACAAATTATTAGGAAAACTATTAAAAATAATATAATTGTTATGAAATAATGAATGTCCATTTTATATTCTCACTACTCATGTGATTCAATTCATCATTCAATGTAAGAAATTAAGATATAATTGATTCAATTATTTATGCACTTTTTAATGGTTCATAGTCCCTTCTAATTCTATTTCTAATCTTGAAGTCTATAAATAGGCTTCATTGTTTATTAGTTTGAGTAAATGTGTTTTGTAGAGATTCGGGGTATTATTTGGAGTTGTTATCTCTTATATTCACTTTATTTTATAATGAATTTATTTTCCTATCATCTTTCTCTCCAATTCTACTATTGTTATCATTTCTTTTATAACACATTATCAACACGAAACTCTAACCAACTAAGACAATAGATCATAAAGTATGTGTCTAAAAAAAAAAAACCCAATCAATAGATTATTTTTCTACACGAGTGTTTTCTAAAAAGATCTAAATTACCTTTATCATTAAGAGGCATGTATCTAATTTATCATTTACTTTAAATCTAATGATCTAATGTATTTTGTTTGAAAAATATAATTTTTATTATTATGCTTGTTCTTGTTTCTTAATATTAATTATCATATCTTATATTATAGAATTTTGATCATATCAAACCTCATAAATCTTGATTTTATGGCCCTTAATATTCTGGACAAAAATTATTGATCATGGGTGCTTGATGCCGAGAAAATATTTTTTACTTTTCATGCCTTGAATATGCTCCTACAACAACGATATCGAAAAAAAAATTTATTAAAACATATTTTGAATTGGTTTCATACTTATTTATGGCTAAGCAAAATAAAGAGCTATTAATGAAAATTTATGAATCTCGTCCAACTCGGGTATATTCCATTTTCCGAAGTGAATGTGAAAATTTATAACAATTCTAGACATGAATGAGGATGTGGTCGTGGCCATAGACGTGAATATAGCAAATAATCATTTTGGAATTATTGTTGTTATAATTATGATAACCTTAATAATATACCTCATCATCGAAGTGTATAAACTATATATAAAAAAGGAAAAATAATAAAAATAGATCAAGTTATTATTCTGAAAATATATGTTATAGATGTGGCATAAAAAGAAATTAGTCGCATACTCGTCACACGTCAAAACACCTCATTGAGTCCTATCAAACCTCATTGAAAAAGAAAGAGTAAAATATAGAAGTCAATTTTATATATCAAAATGATGGTAATTAAAAGTAATACATTGTTAGCTTTTTTATTTATAAATAAGATATTTTTTTTATATATAATTTCTATTGCATAGTGATAGTTAGAAAATTATCTTGCTATTTATTTATTTTTATGAAAAATATATTTATTTATTTTATGTTTAGTTAATTATTTATTTTGAGTTAATATTATATCCGATAGTATCAATCCA